TAATTTTTTTGCAGCTGTAAATAAATCATATATTTAAATACAAAGAACAAATTGTTTTTTGTGTGATTTGTTTGAGAATGGTTAAGTAATTTCCAAAATACTAACAAGCTAATTTGAGACTGGGCTTCACCAATATCAGGTAACCATGTCATATAACATATAACCATGTCACATAACATTTATGTCATATAAGCATGCATTTAAACAAAATGGCTACCAGTCAGCAAGGCATGTCAGAGATGTAGCTCTTGAACAATTTTTGGCCATCTTGATTTAGCTCATATAACAAATTGCATGTGCATATGTATGATATAGTGTGTGTGTGTGAAGTATGAATGAAGTTTGAACAGCATAGACACAAGTGTGACATACAAGTATAATAAAATAAATGTGTTTTATTAACAGATATTTACTACCAGTATATGGCAGCCGTCATCTTAAATACGGCTCGAATTAGTAAGAAATATAATTTTCTGATATGTTCACCATTTCCGTTTTTTTTTAAAGCTTTAATTGGTCATAGAACCAAAAATGAACTGTCAATTTTGTTATGGTGCCAATAAAGCAAATATTTTATTCTATATATTTGAGTTATATTGCAGCCCCCATATAATTTATCACACTTGTGTTCACTCTATATATAAAAAAATAATTTACTATCAAAAACTAACTTGTATCATCATGGAGCTAAAAAAGATTAGTTCTATGGTATGATGTAGTAAAGCAAGTTTTGCACAAAAGAGTGAATAAAAAAAATTATGGGGACCCCAATAGATGTTGAAAAAATTGCACAATAAAAAGAATATGAGGAAGTTACAATAATGTACCAATTTCTGATAAAAAATGTTCAGTTTGTTAAATTAAAGAAACACTTTTACTGTCATATCAGTTGTACACTAAGGAAAGAGAAAGTTTATTCACAAAACACAACATTACTTATGACAACAAAACAAACTAGTTATTTATTAATATTTTAAACAACAAGCCATGCATGGCACAGTCCCTGTTATCAAATTTAAGATATATAGTTTTGTTTATAGTAATATAGTTGCAATGTAAACATGTCAGAGATATGGACCAAGAAGCTAATTCGTGATTATGATGATTTTTTAACATTAAAATGATTGACATCTTGTATCTAATTGTCAAATGAGTATATACTTGTCAATATTGAGAGATATTGCTCTGGAACAGCATTAATTAAAATTTCCACCGGCCGGTCATTTTGAATACATCTACATAACCTCATATAATGAATATATAGAATTTGAACATAATCAGTCAAAGCATGTCAGAGATTTGGCTCTAGAAGCACATTCATTAAAACAAAATGGCCACCTGAGTCAGCCATTTTTAATCCGATCTGAAAAATAAAATGACGTGCATCAGGAACCCATAATGTCTAATGTATGTACCGAGTTTGAACACAACCCATCCATAAATGCAAAAATTTGGTTCCAGAATGTCAGAAATGCTTGATTTTGGATGACTTTTTAGCACAAAATGGCCGCCATTTAGAATCAGATAGTCAAAATCAATATATCTGTATATCTATGTCATGATGTATAATGAATATATAAAATTTGAATATAATCAGTCAAAGCATGGCAGAGATATGGCACTAGAACTGCATTCATTAAAACAAAATGGCCACCAGTCGGCCATTTTAAATTCGATCTGAAAAATAAAATGATGTGCATCAAGGTCTTATAATATCCAACGTATGTACCAAGTTTGAAAATTTGGTTCCAGAATGTCAGAAATGCTTGATTTTGGATGACTTTTTAGCACAAAATGGCTGCCATTTAGAATCAGATAGTCAAAATCAATATATCTGTATATCTATGTCATGATGTATAATGAATATATAAAATTTGAATATAATCAGTCAAAGCATGGCAGAGATATGGCACTAGAACTGCATTCATTAAAACAAAATGGCCACCAGTCGGCCATTTTTAATTCGATCTGAAAAATAAAATGATGTGCATCAAGGTCTTATAATATCCAACGTATGTACCAAGTTTGAACAAAATCCATCCATAAATGCTTGCTTTTGATGATTTTTCAGCACAAAAATGGCCGCCATTTGGCCATCTTGAATCAAATCGTGAAACAAATTGATGTGCATATGTATAATATTATGTATAATGTATGTGTGAAGTTTGAATGTAATAGATCCAGGCATGTCTAAGATATAGGTCCGGACGCACACATGGACGCACACATGGACGCACCAGGAGTCCCCAATTTTGGACTGCGTTCGAACTGGGACTATTAAAGTTGAAAACACTATAAATGATGTGGAAAAATACATTCATAAATATTTCAATATACAAGAAAATTCAATTAAAACTGAAATGCTTAAACCAGCAGCTTCAGAAAATACAAATTAACTAATTTTCCTATGTTTAGAAATTAGAGCGTCTGATATTTTCCTGTATTGTTTAGTGTTGGTTACTTTTTATGTCTTCAGAATTTACTACATGTACTTTATTACAATAGCAATAAAACTCAAAGTAAAAAAAATTCTTAACAATTAACACACCAACTTACTCTGTATGCTGGTGATATTTCATATCTCTGTCTGGAATTCCAAATAAATAGTTACATAGTATACATGTCATGACATACATTTAAGTCTATTTGACCTTTCAACCTGTACGTGGAGGAAATAAACAGTTAACAAACATACACCTAAAACACATGCTGCAAAATGGCGACGCGCAGCAAAAGGAAAACTTCGTCGAAAGAATCGGAGGTTTCAGAAGTTACAGATAACCAGGTGGGTGAATTAGCCAGTAAACAAAGCATTACCATGGAAATCTTTCTTATGTAGTTTCGGTGAAAGATTTTTGTAAGAGTATTTAGCTGTATTCGCTGGTCTGATTACGGAGTGGAGAGTCATATGGCCCGACCGATTTATTTACGAATTACAGCTGGAATTCATTATCACATCGCGCAAATAATTCAGTAATTTAATTGTAATATAATAATATCTAAGATACTCTCTGTGATGCTGAAATTAATTCAAAGAATGCTCATGTAGTCATACAATCGAAAGACATGTAATTTGACACAAGATGGCGCTGCACTAAATAAGCTGTTACAAGCTATTACACACGTGTGCTTGTACCATAACACGTTGATGTAGATGTATTGTCTTTTATATTCATAAAATAGACATTAAAATGTATTTTAATATATAGCAGGTAATGTCTGGCGAGCAAACTCAACCAAGCGAGTTTATTGATAAAAATAGAACCGACATAACTATAATATATAATAATAATAATAATAATGAATTTATTGCATCCTTAGAAATAATTTCCATTGGTTGACAGCAATAAAATGTTAGTAATAAAGTACAATACATATAAAACTAAAGTAAAAGTAAAATGTCAGTTATTGTTATTTCTGATTTCAAATATCTGGTCATCACTTTTCAATTCTTCTGGAATATT